TATTAGTGGTTTTATGGATATTTTTATTTCCCATAATAATTTATTAATTCTCATTAACTTCCGACTTCCCTTTTCCATTTCCTACCAATAGAGGTCCCAATTACAAGTATTCATATACGTATTATCATTGTTCCTTAACATTTTTGACAACTATGTTTTGTTAACAAACGAGAAGTGGCGATGTTTAATCAGAAAGCAATCAAGGGGGTAAAAAGATTGTTCATTCTCCTGGCAATTTGTAGTACAGATAAGATTTATGAAATACTGGTCCACACTCACTCTTTCAGGTTGCCTAATCATCAGCGTACTGTTTCAAAGTTCCATGAATCCATGATGCTCCAGTCAAAACATTTGCTGCGAAAATAAAACAACTCAAGTTACAAATATCCTTTGAAAAAAGCTTTTGATAAGTTTTTCAAGTTCTCTGATTTTCTTGTGGATTCATTATATGCCTTTCGTTTGTTTCTTTAAAAACAAATCCGTAGGAGGGTCCTCAACAGCTCGATGAGAAACTTAGATCCGAAAGATTAACATAACCCTTACTCTTACTTATGAAAAAGACTTGTCTAGATATCTATTTCATCTTTAACATTTACGTCTTGTGAATGTTTTATCGTAGCTGGGAGAGGATGATTGCTCAACATAACGTTAAGATCAAGAAGATGGAGAAACTTGTGCATGAAAAAGATGACGTGAAAACAGTGGTGCTGGGCAAATCTAAGATGATAGTTACATGGCTTCTAGGATCACTGTTGGCTGTTGCCTGGTTCAAATGTCATGAAGTACCAATCGAAAAGGTAAGAGCTTCTTAGATTCAAACTGTCAAGATGTTTCTCTGAAAAAAAAGAAACAAAGCTGTTCCTTTCCTTATTGTTAACTGAAGAAAATGTTTATTTTTCTATATATTCAACGAGTCTCTTTTGGCGAAGTTTGCGTGGGCGATGGTTGCAGAACCCGGCTTCAAGTTCTGATGCCATTGGAGAGCAAATGAGCTGAATAAAGAGAGAATTCTTTTTGTATTTTTTTCTCTTAACATTACCATGACTAAAATGTTATGTTATTTTTCACCTGATTAAGAAATAAAAAATCGAAAGAACAAAAATACTGTTCCTCTGTTTTCTAAGATGTTTTAGTAAATAAATTTGTGCAAATCTTATAAATAACTCTCTTATAAATTTTTGTTAGGCATTGTGTGGCTTTCTCTGCGTTATGAAATTGAAGTTAGAGCTTGTTGTATAACGCTGAAGATTCTTGCCACTTCTTAGGGGCAAAAGCATGCTTATTTGGTTGACACCTTTAACAAGCCAAACATTTAGATTGTTTTCTCTCTTTAAAATGTTTTGGTTGCTATATATGGTGATAAATTTTGTTGAAATATTGGGAAGTCTTCAATAGGTTTTTGATGAAAAGGTTTAAAGTCCTACAAATGTTCATGCCTACTCATCACCCACTTCTGCACAATTGAAAGTGCATTGGTTTGTTCTGTTCTTTATATATATACATGTTGTGTGCAGGTTATATCAATGATATCATAAGCAAAAGCGTCATAGTAATACGAGAGTGAGTTTTTGCAATATGCTTAGGCTCAATAGTTGATCCTTCTATTGGTCTCTGTCACATTTTCTTGACACTGGTATTATGCCACAGATCATCGAAGCGTCCAAGGAACACTACACAAGGTTCTCCTCTAGAGGGTCATAGAACAGAGACTGAGCTCGGAGTTGAACATAACACAGAAAAGACCTTGAGATCAGAAAAAAGAGATTTGATGATTGAATGGTTTAAAAGAAAAGACAGACGCTAAACTCAAACTCAATTCCCAGCTACTAGTCTAAT